CCATCCATCCATCCATCCATCCATCCATCCATCCATCCATCCATCCATCCATCCATCCATCCATCCATCCATCCATCCATCCATCAGTTTTCAGCTGCTTGTTTCGGGGATCTTGTTTTCCTCTCTTTCTCCCTTTTTTTGATTTTGGCTTTTTTAACCATCACAGACTGGAGAATCGCCCAACTGCAATCCTTCTATGCGTCTCTTTCTTAATCCTAATACAAGTTGTGACTTAAGATGCGGCTGTATAGCATCTCAGCTACCTTTTTTGTGTCGCCGAAAATGCTCAAGCTGCCTCTGCTGCTGCCTCCGTAGCGTGTTCACCACAGCGATGGCCAGACGGAGGGCTTCTCTAGGGTAACCGTGTGATCGCAGGGCGTCAACCCGTGCGCAGGCCGTAGGGACGTGTTCTGAGGGAAAGACAAATCCCACTTTAATAATTCCAGCTTCCCCTGTTCTATAGTCAAAGTCCAACTTCAGTGTTTAAAGAACCCATTTGAAACCTACATATATATGCAGACTCACCATGCCACAAAGGCCAGCCGCGTGAGTCAAAGAGGGAGCCCTCCTGGTTGTCATGGTAACAGTAGTTGGCATAGAGGTCACTGGCGATGATGTGCTGGAGGTGTCGGTCCTGCCAGTGCAGGTCGCAGGCCTCGATGGCTCGCGTGAAAACAGTCCTGTGGGGGCGCATCTCTGCAGAAAGAGAGGGAGGAAAGATTAGAGCTGGATCATCTCCAGCAGAAATGAAAATACTGGAAAGGAAGCTTATTTATGAAGTTATTTAGTTATCTAACAGCTTCACACGGCTGAAATCATGTCCTTTAAGTTCTTCCAGGGAAATATTAAAGGTTCTCTCATCATCCCAGTTTTGTTTCCCCTTAAACTTGTTCAGATTTTGTTGCATTACGAGCAAAAACACTAAGATGTAAAGGTCTCATAATTATGGGGGTCTTGATTCTTTAACAGGGGTCTTTAATTTTTAACAACACAGAAATTAGCTATGCGTCTGTATTCAGCCTCCTCAGTCGATGCATTTGGTTGTAATTATAGCTGGAGGTCCTACAGTTTGTCTCTACCAGCTGAAAGGTCTTTGTTCAGCAGGAAAGTGAATCTCTAACCAGGTTTGTCCAACATTCAGCTTCCGCCACCTTCTGATTTTACCAGAACTGTCTCCTTCTTCACCCTGTCACTTTAGATGGACTGCCCTGTCTTGGTTGGTTTGTAGTTTTCATTTAGAGATGATGGACTGAATGATGCATTGGGAGATTATTTTTAGAGATTAGGATATTTTAAATGTAATCCTGTTTAGAATTCCTCAACAGATCTGTTTATACTTAGATGAAAATGCAAACAGTTGCACTACTTGTTATAAAAGTCTCTTGGCTGTTTTAGATTGTTTTATTTATCGGAACAAAGGAGGCTGAATACAAATGCACAAGATTTTGATTTTTATAACTATTTTTCTGGACATTTATTTATTTATTTTTTAAGGTATTTAATGGCATTACAAAAATCCCAAGAGAAATATGTTAAAGTTAGAGATTGGATGTGTGAAGTAAAGACACACAGGACATCTAACCTTGATTACCGTGGGCGCCCTGGGGCAGGGAATGGGTAAGATTGGGCAGCTCGTTGATGTGGTTGCCGTCCTCCCAGGGGCAGACGTCCACACTGTTCCATCGCCGCAGCTGCCGCAGCCACGACGACTTCTGCTCCGGTTTGCAGTGGGGGTTCAGCACGATGCACATCCACAGGGCACCTGGACACGCAGCAAATGCACAAACTTTCATGAATGCATAGAAAGCTGATGTAAGCATGAGCAATAAGAGAGTGCTTTGAGCTTAACAAGTCTGTAAACGCAGCTATTGTGTAAGGTCAAAAGCATGAGGCGTTTGTTTTTCATGCTTTGGAGCAAAAGAAATCAGTGGATCTGCTTCTTGAGAGCTTTTTCTCTTTGCCGCCGCCATCTTCTGCTTGGCTACAAAAGTGAGACGTAGCTTATCCAGAGGCAACGCTGTGTGCACACACATCATTTTGGAGCAAATTGGAACAAACAGAATGTGAAAAACGGTACAGTCTCAGGGGACCCGAACACATTCAGGGATTTTACTCTCAAGAGTGCCGAAGATGTGTACTCTCTACAGTGAGGGTGGTACAGATGCATGTGTGAAGAGACAGAAACATTTTGGAGAGACAAGGCCTGAAAACAAGGATAAAGACAGGATGTGAAGGCTGAAACCAATGGGACAGAATGTGCAGCCTGCAAGACTGGAGAAGCAGAAGAGAGAGTGGAAGCGGTTTGCAAAAAAAAAAAAGGGAAGGGGAAGACATTGATGAGGACAAGTGTTTGCAGCTTGTTTGAGACTTAAAAGAGGAGAAAGACAAAAGCAAGGATGGCAGTGCCGCTAGGCTGCATCCACACATCAGGTGGAGTGATAAGGACCCTGGGAGGAAGTTTTCAAGTGTGGACTTCAAAGCAACGCGTGAGCAAGCACGTCCAAGAAAATACGTGGGACTGAAACAGACGATTTCTGTCCTGTCCTCGCAGAGCGTAGAGGAGGACCAAAGGGAGAGGACGATCATCATCATCATCACCGACAGTGACGGCAGGAACAGAGGATGTTAAGGGAAAACGGCTAAGATGGGCTCAGCGGGTTGTGGAAAAAGAGCTGCAAAGCCTTATCAAACCAAACAAGTGTGTGCTGAGCAGCGCTCCTTCACATCCACCAGAAATATAATGAGAAGTGTTTGAAAACACTGCAGAGGTGAGGCTCAGTGTGCCGCATTAAATGGCTTTTAATTCAAGAAGAGAGCTGCCAAACCTACAGTCACAGCGAAGAGAGAGAGAGAGAGAGAGAGAGAAACTGGGCTGTCAGCGCATCTGAGACTGTGGGCTTTCTTGGACACAAAAGCACAAGAAAACAAACAGAGACAAAAATACGTCTGTGTGCCTTTGTGTCACTGTCTGGGTTCGATCACCCATCTTGCTAAATCTGTCAGTGCCTGTGCTTACAGATGGTGGTATATGTGTGTGTGTGTGTGTCCCCCTCCCCTTACCAAGCTCATCCCAGAGCTGTCTGTACTTGTCGGTCATGGTGGTGCCCTGCTGTCTCCACAGCGCCAGCCGAGGGTCGGCCATGAACTGCTCCGTGATCAGTGTTAACATCCTCGCTCCGTTGGAGTCACGCATCTTCAGCATCTCCCTCACCTACACACGGAGAGGTGGGACACATTGGCAGTTTACACCAGGATGGTTCTTTAAAAATTCTGCAATCTAGAATTTAGGAAGATTATTGCAACATTTGCTTATTTCTTTATCTTTATAGAGGCATTTAAAAGGCCATGCATGGTCCCCTTCGCATTTGAAGTCTCCCTTGTATGGTGGGAGAGCAGTGTTTGGTTTTTATTTATAAATCTTCAAATGAATATTGAAAACAATTATCTATCAGAATCTTGTCATTTCTGAACAACAATAAGAGTTTAAATGATAGAAGAGACTGTGTTAAATTTGGGATCCAGTACATCCATCCAATATGTAGCCAGAAATGTAAAATTATTTTAATTAAAAACAAGATGCAGCTCTTTTACACCATTAATTCAAAAGTAGTGTAACACAAAAAGTATATAAGATTAAGGACCTTATTTATTTACTGAACTGATCCTGAACTGATCCTAATTAATAATCTGTGGAGGAAGCTAAAGGTTAGGGATACCACTGGAGACGAGGAAGTAATTCCTTTAAAGTCATGAGAAGTTTGACTGTTGTTTCCCAATAAAGGCTTTCCATATAGTTTTGATGGAAAATCGTCAACTTTGCATCCTTTCCTGTTACAATCTGCTCGCTTAAACATATTCTGTTTGGTTTACTTAAATAACATTGATTCATATGTCATTTGGAGGAACTTTTTTTGAAGTAAACATTTAAGAATTAACATTTTTGACATAATCCAGTTACACAAAAAATTGTCAGGAACAGTCCAGTTTAATCTTAGTTATATATTAAAGCTGTTTCAGAATGAAAACATAAAATCTAATTCGAGCAAAAGTGTAGCACGCCTCTTTCAGCGGGCTGACTGGCAGTGCACAGCAGCATTCGGTGGAGGGCCTGTATTGCTTCAGACAGCTGGGGAAAAAAACGCGATGTGACCGGACATCTTTTGGGGCCCCTCAAAGTGACAAAGTAAATAGTTTGATTATAGATATTACATTTGTAAAACCCCGAAAACAGCCCATCACTCTTACACACATCAATCTATGACACTTCCATTGTTAAAAATATAGATTTTTGCTTCAATACAGTGCTTTTTCTTCTATTTTCCCAGGACCCAAATGACCTCAATGACCTCAAAGATCAGACAAACTTTGGCTTTATTTCTTTTTTCATGAGCAATGTGAGAACTCAAATTTGGAATATAAATAAAAACAATGCAGCCAGTCATGAACAGAACCTGCACAAAACGTATAAAAGACATGCCAGCCTCCATAAACTGCCTGCTTTCATGGTCAACTCAATAAATCATTTAGAAAAAGAAAAAAAATGGCTGAATGGGTGTCGTGACTAAATTCCTCTGGTTGTATCTTGCTTAAATTTGTTCTGAACTGTTTTTGAGAGCTAACTACCCTTGACCTTTCCTTTTCTTCTCTGCTTAACTTGAAATCACATCAAACACCTCTTAAATCTGTTTCATAAGTTATTGGCTTATTCCCTGCAGATTCTGAAAGAGTTTGCACATTATTCAGAGCAAGAGGTCAGAGAAAAAGACAAAAAAATTAAAAATGGCGAGAATAGATTGCTAACATTTAGGGGTTGGGTATAGAGGTAGAGGCGTGCAGAAGTAGCTCTGTGTGGGAGTTTCAGGATCTGTGCAAGGTGGCTGAGAAAACGTGACTTACTCGATTATTGTGTGTGTGTTATATTAAGGCAGACATTTAAGCTTCAAAGTGCATGAAGCTGAGAGACTTTTTAAAAGCCAGGCAAGCTAGATGATAATGGCCTTGGCTTGTGGTCTTTATGAAGCACACAATGCATTAATGCTGGCCCAGCTCAGTAACTGTAATAGCAGCCAACTGACTGAGGCAAACATCTCTCATGAAAGGGTTTAATATACAGTGTGTAGTGCAAGGCTTCTCGCTTTCTATACTTTGTTTTTTCTCTCTTTCTGTTCACTCACTCCTACAATCAGCCTTACGACACAGCCTGCCTTTTAATGTATGCGCATTCTGTGCTCTCTTTTATTCCCATTACGAGAGGAAGCAAAGGACAATGCAAATGAAAAAGAGAGTGGGAGAAAATATCTATTAGAGGGACCCATGGCTCAAGGTGAGCAAGCTTAGAAACATAGACGAGCTGATGGTGAGTGCTTTTCTGTTCTGGGTGTGGATAAGTCAACGCGGTTCAGACCTTGCTAAAGAGGAGGTTGAGTTGCTTTCCTGAGCCGTGGTAGCCTCCCTGGGACAGGAAAAGCTTGACTTGCTCCTGAACCTGCTCCTCGTCCAGGTGCCAGCAGTTCTCGTCGTCCACGCTGGCTCCCGCTGTAGGGTCCGGTGCCCCTAAACAGGCATAGAAACATTCCAGTGTGAAGCACTTGAAAGTGGGACTAAATTTTTCCTCATCGCCTTTTATTTTGATGACAAATATAGCCTCAGCAGTTGCGACAAACTTAATTCACACCATGACAAGATAAAAGATCTATATTTACCCATGACTTGGTTTAAGAGAATAAAAAAATAAACTTTCCTAAAGTTATTAAAGGCATAATTAAAGTTAAAAAATATATTTAGAAATACATTTGTAGACCAAGTATATATATATATATATATATATATATATATATATATATATATATATATATATATATATATATATATAAAGTATATTAAATATTCTCAGCATAAGCAATGAAAAACTTTCGGTAGAAAAGTATAAAAAACCTTAACAAAACTGTTGTTATGGAGAATTGGTAAGGTCAAGCTCAAAATGTATTTAATTCAATCAAAACTTTATAATTTAAATGAATGTTATACTTATAAAGATAAATGAATACTGTAAATAAATAAAGCACATTTTATCTCTTATCCAAAATTTTGACAACAGATTTAGATCTGGCTTTCTGCTGACCCTCTCCAACAGGAGGCTTTTTTTTTTGTTTTTTTCATTTAACATCTCGCTCTCTTCGCTCCTCATCCAGGCTTTTTTTGTCACATATTTTATACTTTTAAACTTGTTTAGAGCTGCAACTAACGGTTATTTTGCAAATTGATTAATTTGTCGATTATTTTTTCAGGTAATCGGATAGCAAAACGTTCCTTAAAGAACACCTTTTATTAAATTTAACGAGGTTAAACTAAAACTTTTTCACTTGAGGAGTTCTGGATAGACCATATAGACACACGAAAAATATTTTTTTATCTTATGCACAATGTTTACATATTTTTTTATTTTATTTTATTTATTTTTTTTTTTTTTACAATTTTAGTATGATTACTGCTCTGAGTGGGTTGCCCTGTCAGCTAAAAGAATGAGTCTCTATACTCCAGTTAAGTATTAATCGATTACTAAATTAGTTGACAATTATTTCAATAATTGATTAATCACGATTAATCCCATTAAATGTTTCAGCCCTAAACTTTTTAATTATTGCTTTAAATGTAAAGCGGTATTATTGAGAGAAGCTGCTATTTCTTGCAATTTTCTTTGTCTTTTGAATTTTCAGAGTTCATTAAAAAAAAGTGAGACAATGAATTCTCATATTTACAGAAACGGAAGGATTGGATTATTGGATTATGAAATGATTCAAATAAAGGTATTTTAATAGGAATTTTTAGGGGAAAAAATATAATACCAACTTTTTTGGTAACGACAGAAAAAATGAGTTATTTCTCAACATAAAGAATGTTTACACCAACAATTCTATCAATTAAAATTAAAGGTTGACAAAATATGTTTCCCTAATTGAAAAAAAAAAAAGAAAATTCTAAGAATTTTTACAAATATTTACCAGGAGTGTCAAAAAATGGGCAGAGCGAAGCAGTATTCTATTTGGTAACATTTAGGTTGAAAGATCTTGCTTCAGGATTTGCATAAAACATAATGTTTCATTTCAAATGTAATTTTTAATGCAGGGATCTATTCTTTAAGACTTTCAAAGTGGAGTAGTTTATTTTTTAGGGAAACTGAGGAATGCTGATGAAGTTTTTTTCTTTTATTATGTAAGAATGTACAGATCCAGAGTATCGATACTGGTCCTAAAAAGGGTCAACATTTGTTTGGCTTTGTTCAGAAGTCCATCTGTTTTCTAGGTTGTAGAATCCATTCCAACTGAACAATCTCCTGTTTCCTTGCACACGTGCGACAGAGCAGCTCTGGACACAGACTGTGAAAACGACTTTTGGTTTGCATTTTCCAGAGATTTACTCCGAAGGTTAAAAGGTTTCTTTGATCTCTGAGATCTCTTGGCTCGTGTCTCTGCCTCTGACACTTATTTTTCATGTCTCCCTCCCTATGTTTCCTCATATTTCCTTCCTTCAAGTCTGTTTCCTGAGTCTTTATTTCTGATGTCTTTTTTTCTTGTCAGACCTGCTCAGCAGTAGCTCATCTTATTTCTTCTTAGTCTTACATTTCCAGCCCCTGTGGGTTTTTCTTTCTTGCTTTTGCATGGCTTCTTATTTCCCCCCCCATCTTCCTTTTAAGATGCAAACTGGTCTATAGTGTTGATTACATCCTCTGCTCTGCTTCATGGATCTCATTTATAAGTAATATTGATCCTGCCACACTTTACCTTCATCACACAATCAATATCTAATATATGCATGTGGAGGCAGGAAAGCACATGTCAACTACACATGGGCACACTAACCTAACCATCCTCTAAAAACCCACTGGTTTCCTCACCGTGGACCTGGTTGATCTCCGAGTTCTGGGACAGGATCTCATCAGCCAGTTTCTGTGCTGTGGGCAACACCTCAGTGTGGTGGACCGATATCAGGTACTGGACAAACTTCTGCAGCTGGTCTCTGCTCATCTGGAACAGGGTTTCCGAGATGGGCAGGTGCAGCTTGACCTGCTCAGGCTTGCGTACCCTGTAAAGCGACAGCGCCACCACATGGGCGCAGTAGAAGATGTCCTTGTTACCGCATGTACACGTTACGGCGGTGATCTTGCAGCGGTCAAAGCTGACACTGACGCTGCAGACGAGTTCCGGGGATGAAGGCGTGGCGGGGTCCGTCACCGTGCCGCTCAGGTGGAAGCCTGGTAAAGTCCAGAACAAAAAAAAGGGGTGAATTTTACAAGTAATTACTTTTTGTTGGTAGTAAGGTGATGGTATTGGATGTTTTATTTTTTTTTAAACAATCTAAAAAACAATTTAAACAATTATTTCTATAAATAAAAACTCAACAAACTCAGGAAATCGACATCTGCAGATTAGATCACTTGATCAACTCAACAACTACATCCCATATCAGTAAATACAGGCCCCAGATATTAATACATGTGCATCTTAATTAAATTATCAGCTCAAAATGTCAGCTGAATAGCTTATAACACAGATTTAGGTGTTTATTTCAGTTCATTTAGATAATTATGGCTTATAGCTAAAGAAAAACCCAAACTCAGTTTCTAAGAAAATTTTAACACTTAAGTACAATTATGCATTTCAATTTCAGGCAAAAAAACCAAACAACTTTATTGTTATAATGATGTCATGGTCGACATACTCATGAGGCACACTGTTGGTCGTTTTTAAGTAAATAGTTATTGATACCCTCCATGAGGAGAGCAGGCCACCAAAGGTCATTGCTAAAGAAAGCTGACTATCACTAAACTGCTGTATTCAAGGACTTTGATGGAAAGCTGGGTGGAAGAAAAAATAATCAGCCTTGAAAGGGGTTTAAAGAAAATCCATTTTTTTTAAAGGGGAGGGGGTGTGATTTACAAGGTGTGAACAGAGCTCCACTGGTCACCCCACATGATGGGTCTATGTGTGTGTGGTGATTTATTTTAGATTTCAAACCAAGGCTCCAGAGTCCGAAGGAAGACAGGAGAGGCACAGGATGTCAGGTTGTGTTCAGGCTCTCCTGATGCATCTCAATAACTCAGGTAAAAAATAAAATCCAAACAAACTGAGTGCTCTGGATGGGTACCTCACACCGAGAAGACTCCATTTTTTTGGGGTCCAAAAACATATGTTTCTGCATTCGGTGATGATTCTGGGAGTCACATCAGCTGCTGGTGTTGGTCTGCTGTCTTTTATTAAGTCCAAAGTCGACCAAGCTGTCATCCCGGACACTTTAAAAGTACCTCCGGTTTTTTCCAGTAGGACATGATCCTTGGCTAAACTGCCAAAAGTACAAAACTGATTAAGTGGCCATGGTGTTACTGCACTGGATTGACCAGAAAACATAACCTTAACCAAACCCCATTGAGAATCAATGGAGTGTTATTAGGAAGATGATGTAGAAAACCTGAGGAGCCTTCACAGCAACCTGGGCTTGCATTACACCTATGCAGAACGACCCGCTAATCACATACCTGCAATGCTGCATTAATGTACTAATTGATACAAAAAGGGGCCCAACCGAGTTATTTAGTGCACATACTGTGTAATAGAGGAATATTAGTTGGTAGAAGGCTGATATGTTCCTCTATCTTTATTGGTCTGATCTCAAATTTTTTTATTATTGTGACAATCATCAAAAAATTAAATAAAAAAAGGAAACAAAGGGACAAATTTTATGTGATGCATCTGAAAATGCATTACTGTCACTTGTTAATAAGACAGAGAAAATCCTGATGCACAACAGGAGGAATCGAGAGAAGAGGCGTAGAAGCCAGCATGCCTGTCCCAGCATGAATTATACAGACTCTTGTTCGAAAATATTGTTTGATCTCGCCTTGACTGCATTATCTGGAGGCGTGGCTACTCATTATACAGGAATGAATATGAATGAGCCAGGTGGGGTCCCCCTGCTGTGCTGTAAAACACACACTCGTGGGCACATGAAAGATGAAGGCGTGTGCACAAGCGCCGGGACGCAGTGTGAGATCATGACTTATTAATAATGGGAGGGGTTAGAAGCAGCTTCATGAATGCATTTATGCGCTCAGGAGAAACATGTGAAATTCATGTGCAGCAGGCATAGACATACATATCTTTAATATGTTTATCAAAGGGCTGAGTGCCTACATAGCCTCCGTGCAAAGCACATCTTAGTGCATATAAATATCAAAGGTTTTTTCTTGTAAGAAGGGAGGAGCAAGAGTTACATATTTTATGGGTTATGGATGAAAGTGGATGCACAAACAAGCTAAACAGAGGTCAGATCAAGGTAGCAGGTAAACAAAAGAATCAACGCTCAGGATATACATTAAAATAAAATTGTGTTAACGGATCCTATGCTGTGCATAACAAACATCTGTACATTGACCTAAAGGTATAGAAAAGGACATTCATTTTCCGGGTGGATCATCAAAATAAGTGGTCCTCCTAATTGTCAATCATTCTGGTCATATGTTTACGTAAGGCTGTCCTACGTGCTCGTCCCCATTTTCACTTACTGACATTGAGTCTGGCATAGTGGAAATATTGCACATCTTTTGGAAAGTAAATCTGTATGAGCGATGCAAACAGCAATTTTTAAAAAGAGCGTGCAGAGCACGAGGAGAAATGGGCTTGTGCATGCTCTCGCACGTGTTTAAAAGGCGTTTCTTCTCACGAACGGGTACAGGGTTGTGCATGTGCATTATTTTTTTTAAGTGAAGAGGGTGGGTCTTTGTGAAAATCCTCCAATATACCTTTAGTTTTTCTACAACTTGAAAAATTCAAATAAATGTGCTAAACGGGCACAGTGTAAGTCGAAAGGTACATGGTTCTTTTGTATTATTACATAAAATTCCCTAAAATTAAAATTTTAGTCTGATTTAAATTGATTTTCAGTCATTTTTTAAACCCTTCTGTAGCCTCACCATCACAAGAATCCTCATCTAACATTACCAGTGCATACGGTACTCTAACCTTAACCTTAAACTCAGTTTATACCTTAGTCATAAACCTGACCATTAACAAAGTCAGGACCAGCAAACTGTCCTCAGTTTAATGGTGAAAAAGTAAAAAGCGGTCTTTATTCTGATGCTAATACACAAGCACACACACATTTGAGCATAAGCTTTTTGCTAGGGTCATTTATAATTACTTTCTCGAGATTTGTGTACCCTGAAGTCCACAATTATAAAACATGATAGCTGCACCATGGAGGAACAGTGAAGTTGCAGGTTCTGCATGGCAGCATGGCGCCCTCTGTGTGGAGTTTGCTAATCTTTTTGTGAATCGATGCATTTCCTTCCGGTATTTCTGCTTTCTTTCATAGTCACAAGAAACCCAATAAACTGGTCCCAACCTGCCCCTTGTCCACTGTTCTAGGACTGCAAGGATTAATAAGGCAATGAAAACAAGGATGACTGGATGACACAATGTGCCAATGGGTTTGGTTGTTCTGTATCTGCAGAAGTATAGGGTGTTAGCTATAAATATGCAGCAAGGCAGACCTGCACAACATTGTGCCACAGAGATATGCATTCCCCTTCTGAAAGCCAGCTGGCAGAGGAAGCACGTGTTCGTTAACAATATCCACAGAAGAGGGGTGTGGATCGACATGGCAGCTCTTCACATGTGCAGTGATCAAAGCTTGGATGTCTACAACTGCGGGAGACGGAGGGAAACAAGGAGCCGCGCTGAAACAATCCTAAACGAGACAAAAAGGTTCGCACACCGCAGCTGGTCCATGGAGGGTGTGTTTGTGTGTGGGGGGGTAACTTATTTAACAACGACGCCACTCAAATGAACGTTTGAGACTCGGTGATACCTTTTTTTCGTGTGGATATGCGTGTGTTTGCTTGTGCGGTTTGTTTGTGTGAAGAGACTTTCAAGAGTGGCCCCTGGTTGAGCTGGAAAAAAAATAAATAAAAAAATAGATCAAAAACATGTGGGAACTGAGAGAGCTCAAAGAAAAATCACCCTCAGATGCAAGCTTACACACACACACACACACTGAGCAAAAGGTTACAAAGGCAGCTGTACCTTCTTTTGCAAATGTTTTCTTTCTGAAAGGGAAAATCATCCACTTTAAAATTCAAAACACATGAAAACCCTGACCAGAGATAAAAGACTCGCGGGTTTTAAGGGGTGGGGAGGCTTTGTCATGTTTTCCTCTGCTTTATCGGACATTTTCACTCTTTCACCTTCCAAGCCCTTTGCATCCCCCTCCCGTCCTTGCCCCTTCCCTCCCTTCATCAGTCCACATTCCCACAGCTCTTTCAGTCTCACTCTCTGACAGATGGGTAGGTAATGAGTTTCGCCTTTCCCCGTCCAATCGTCTGGGCACCAAAAAATGCCCCTTGTGCCAGAAATGCCCTTTTAATTTAGCCAAGCGCTGAGTACAGGGATATTACTGTTTAGGCACACACACAGACACCCACCTCCCAAAACCCCTGGCTGGGTGGGTATGAAAACTTCAGTGTCTCATGTGCTAGCTATTAGAGAGCCTGGTTTCCCCCCCTTTACCCAATCCACCCAGCTCCCTTCCCAGAGTGGCGCTCTCGCCTCTTTTCAGTGCATGTTCAAGAGGCCAGAGTTGGCTTTCAGAGTAACCATGGTGGCCATTTTTAGAACAAGGCCTCTGTGAGGTTGCCCTAGAAACCCCTTCTGACCGCCCTGGTGAAATCACACTTGGCAGAAAGCGCTGTGCAAGGTGGCAAGAACAGCGTGTGACCGAGTGAGCAAGACAGAGAAGATGTGAACCACATAACATGATGCTAAGGTTTTCAGTCATCTCACACTGTCTTCTATTTTTGCTTTGACAGAGTCAGACAGTCAGAAATACTTCTGCAATCCTTCTCATTTAAGAGAAAAATGTGTCTCCTTTTTCAGCCATTAGGTGTAGAGTTAGAGTTGTAGTCTTTTCAGGGCGTTTTTTCTTTTTGGACTCACAAGGTGACATTTAGACATCACTCAAACTATTGACTCCAACATTGTATATAATTTCAGATTAATTTTTTTAAATATTGGAGGGTTAAACATACTTAAATGGGATGTAAAATTATATATAAATTATATTAGATTATATTAAATTA